GCTAGTGTGAGACACAGTAGACAGCAAATATTTGTTCCTTAAGCCGGCTCTACAGCCCATCCGCTGGTAACGGTGGCTTCCAGACAGCGTGAGACTTGGCTTTATTTTGTCATTCATTTCAATGATCTAAATGCAGTAGCAACGTCTTCAAGGGTGCAAATAGCTCTCATTTAAAAATCCTACTACAACCCTCTGTTCACCTGAAAATAGGAAGGAGCAGAAATCTCACTGGCTTGGAAATTAGGAAGCCTTGGTCAGATCCTTGGCTTTGTCACTTTCATGGAGGGCATGTATTTTACTGAAGTTCCTTGTCTGTGAATTGGGCTTTGGGAAGAATTTCTTGTCTATGCCATGAGCTTTGGGAATGGGGAGAGGCATACAGGAGGTCTGGGATCAAATTCCAGCCTCACCATTAGCACCATAGTGAGTTTGGTCTATTCATTTGGATGCTGTGTCATTATGTTCCAGTTTCACTATGTGCATCATCATCATCGCCATCACCATCATCACCATCANTCATTATGTTCCAGTTTCACTATGTGCATCATCATCATCGCCATCACCATCATCACCATCACCATCATCACCATCATCATCATCATCACCACCATCACCATCATCATCATCATCATCACCATCACCATCACCACCATCACCATCATCACCATCATCATCATCACCATCATCACCCTCATCACCACCATCACCATCATCACCATCATCATTATCATCACCATCATCACCATCACCATCACCACCATCACCACCATCACCACCATCACCATCATCATCATCACCATCACCATCACCACCATCACCATCATCACCATCATCATCATCATCACCATCATCACCATCACCATCATCACCATCATCACCCTCATCACCACCATCACCATCATCATCATCATCATCCCCATCACCATCATCACCATCATCACCATCATCATCACCATCACCACCATCACCATCATCATCATCATCACCATCACCACCATCACCATCATCACCATCATCACCATCACCATCATCATCATCCCCATCACCATCATCACCATCACCATCATCACCATCATCACCATAATCATCATCACCATCACCATCACCACCATCACCATCATCACCATCATCATCATCACCATCACCACCATCACCCTCATCACCACCATCACCATCATCATCATCATCACCACCATCACCATCATCATCATCACCATCACCATCACCATCATCACCCTCATCACCACCATCACCATCATCACCATCATCATCATCACCATCACCATCACCATCATCACCATCATCATCATCATCATCATCATCACCATCACCATCACCATCACCATCATCACCATCATCATCATCATCATCATCATCACCATCATCACCCTCATCACCACCATCACCATCATCAACACCATCATCACCATCACCATCACCATCATCACCATCATTATCATCATCATCACCATCACCATCATCACCATCACCATCATCATCATCATCACCATCATCACCATCACCATCACCATCACCATCATCACCATCATCATCACCATCACCATCATCACCATCATCACCCTCATCACCACCATCACCATCACCATCATCATCATCACCATCATCACCCTCATCACCACCATCATCATCACCATCATCACCATCATCATCATCATCACCCTCATCACCATCATCATCATCATCACCCTCATCACCCTCATCACCACCATCACCATCATCATCACCATCATCACCATCACTATCATCATCATCAT